TGCTGTTTCCATACAAAATACAGTATGAATATCTAACTAAACCAACTCAAATCTGATTGTGATGACCAGTATTTTCACAATGCGGGATGAAGTGTCTTCTTGCACAATGAAACGTTCGGTTACAAGGAAAGCAGAAAGAGCAGAGAGGTTGTTGAAGCTACACCTGGGATATCAGCTGCATGTTGAAACTTGGGGAGCGGGACTGCTTGGTTAAGGGGGCTCCTGGGCTGAGAAGCTCTTTCCCATCACCAGCTTGACCCAACCGGTCTTCCTGGAGGCTGATGGTTGAGTATCGGTTAGCACTGTTAGCTGCTAGATTGGTGACTCCCTCTGTGCCGGCCCTGATGCTGGTACCTGCTTGACTGCCATTTACATAGTCAAAGGATTTACTTGAGGAAGCACTGGCTGTCCGGATTAGACTCAGACTACTGGTTTTTGGCACCACCTGGCCAGCAGGCAGGCTCAGGTGTTTCTTCATTGGTGTCAGCTCAACTGAATCTACACTAAGGTCAGTTGGCTGCTGTCCATACTGTTTGCGCATGACTGACTCTCGAGGGCTCTCACTGGATCTGATGGTGGAAGTTGCTTCTTTATCTTTGGCTGAACGCCCAGTTGCTACTTTGCGCAAGCTTCCCCTCTGAGAAGAGGAGGATGCTTTGGTCCCAACTGGCTGGCTGCTGAGGGAGGCCCCTGATGAAAACCCTTCATCTGCATCATTCAGGTTTACAGACTCTTCTCCTCCATTTATACTTTCAGCACCTAAAAGACAAAGGAGACAGACTCAGCAATAGCAATAGCTAAATTAAGAGGCAGCTATGAATACTGACTTCACCTCCTGAGTAATGTTTGCTACAGGTTGGCAAAGGCCTTACTATCAGCACTTCATCTAAGTAATTTAGGAAAATAAATCCTGATCTACACAAAATTCTAATATACTTTTGTGTTCATTTAATTTAAATTAGCCCAACTTTGGTAAAACTATCCAAAACGCACCTAAATATACTAGCAATATTTAGACACATAAAACTAGGTAAAATATAACGTTTTGTTATCATAAAGCTTTATAATACACCCTGACACTGATTTAAGATGACCACAGCTACCTATTTAAAAACAGCTCTTTTCTCATATTGTCTTTAACCCACTGTGGGACAGACTGTACAAAAGAGACTCTCTTCTAATTTCAGGTATCCAGAATTATACCAAAACTCATTTAAGCATGTAGGACAAACTCCATTCTAACTACAATGATTTTTTTTTTTTGGTACCGGGGATTGAACTCGGGTCCTTGCACTTACATAGCAGGCGGTGAAACCACTGAGCTAAATCCCTGGCCCCTAAAATTTTATATTTACTCAAGTTAGCTGTTTCTATGTAACTTTACAACTTTTAATGTGGAACTAGTACATTTTCTTACAACTAAAAAACTACATGGTTCTAGAAATTTCACAATCCTATTTTGTCTTATGGACTTATCTACTCACTGGTCTCCCTCTTATCTCTCTCTCTCTCTCTCTCTCTCTCTCTATCTATCTATCTTCCTTTCTCCCTGCCCACCCTGGGTACGAGGGATTGAATTCAGGACCTTGCATTTGTAAGGCAGGTGTGGTGCCACTGAACTAAATCCCAGGCCTCTCCCTATTTTCTTGATCAATTAATGTGAAGGAAATACTATCAGGGGGCAGGGGTAGGGCATCTAGCAAGGGCAATTAAGGAGGACCTTTTTGGTCAGCTTTATGTATTTCTGTAATATTTTAGATTCTTAGCACTGAGACATATTATTGTCGTGGTCACAAAACACTTTAATATTAATGTTTCATGTAGAATCTGCATGGACTTAATGAAAGAATCTTTATCTTGAGTTTCTGTGGAAAGGAAAGCATGTAATACATTGAGCCTGTAGTTTCCAGAAAGCTCAGTTCTCTTACTGAAAGTATAATTTTAAAAAATCTCTTAAAAACTTAACATATTTTCTTTTTTGCAAAAACTGATATTAGCTTGCTACACTGCCACTGCTATTGGTTTGCAAACTATTTTCCTCAGACTGCAAGAAAGTTTAATCTGAATCTACAAAACAGATATGAACATCAGAGTTAAGGTAAAATGTCAGGAAACAATCTAAACAAATACTACTTTGAGATAAAGGTTTCTTAAGCAAAATATATACAAAACACAATCTTTTATTTAACATAGTACCTGGAAGAATAAAAACATGTTCTCATATGGATTAGGTATTTCTTCTAAAGAAACAATATCCTCAAAGCAAAAAGCATGTTATAATATAATGTGTATATATATATATATGATTATATATATACATACACACACAGCAGTTTAATAAAGTCTAATCATCATGCAAAGCCATGTGAAAATGCATTTACCAACAAGAGTAACAGCTGACACCACTTCTCTCAACCTCTTCAAAAGAACTGTGTAAAATGTACCTCAAAAATAAAGACTATATTTCTGTGGTATCATTTTAGTAATTTACTTAGAATAAGAAACTCCAAAATGCCCAAGAACAAATAGTTACTGGTTCAGAATTAATATTAATGATATAAAACTGGGAGCAAAGAGAAGAATCATTGGGTTTATCTAATTAGGAAAAGAGACTGAGAGACTTAGTGCTAGCTTTGAACGTTGTCACATGCATATCTGATGCCCAAATAATATGGCCATACAAGAGATGATGACACCATAAAAGCCACCATGCAAGAGAATCTATTAGTGTTTTATATGCTAAGAAATGTCTCAGTGTAAGAGAACGCTGACTACACTTTCATCACAGGCACTGTCTTCAGCTTGGTGATGGGTGATGGGCTCTTATTTGCCCTTCAGTTTCAAAATATAATAAACAATTTAAATTGAAAAACTAAAAAATCATCCTAGCATAAAACGTGTTTTGTTTTAAAAAGTCAGTTATGTACATTAATCCAAAAGCTCTAGCAAACTACAAAATAACCAAGGGTTTTGTGTGGTTTTTTTGAGACAGGTCTTGCTGTGTACTCCAAGCTGACCTCCAACTCTTGGTGATCCTCCTGCTTCCGCTTCCCCTTCCCAAGTACTGGGATTACAGGCTTGCGCCACCACGCCCCAGCCAATGTTTCAACAATCTCTTTCTACTTAAAAAACCTCAAGGAATAGAAAAGGCAACTGTGTCTCCAAACATTTTTCCTCTTTCATTTGGCCCCTATGTGACAACACCATTCACAATCCAAAGAAAGACCTGAAAATAATTGTTAGTGAACTTTTCTATTCATAGCTTCCTTTCCTATACATTTAGTGTCTAGTAATAAAATTTAAAACTATTATCTAGATTAGAAGGTCAATTAAGTGGGCTGGGGATTTAGTGCAGTGGTGCCACTGCCTGCCTTGAAAGCGCAAGGTCCTCAGTTCAATCCTTGATACCAAAAATAAAAAAAAGGTCAAATAAGTTTTTAGAAATTTCAAACATCCTCAAGAAACTTAACTATACTGTCCTTGTGGTTATATAGTCCCATTCCCTCCCCTAAACTGAAACTTTACCAGTAATAGGAGACACTAAAATAGGATATTTTAATGTTTAATAGGATACCAAAGAGAAATCACTATTTTGATTCCTTTTACAAAATATATGACTTGCCACCTGCTGCACAAGCACAAGGACCCAAGTTCGATCCCCGGTACCAAAAAAAAAAAAAAGTGTGTGACTTCTGTTTGGGCATGGTGGCACAGGCCTGTAATTCCAGCACTCGGGAGGCTGAGGCGGGAGGATCACCAAGAGTTCAAGGCCCGCGGATTTAGCTCAGTGGTTCCGCCACCTGCCTGCACAAGCACAAGGACCCAATTCGATCCCCGGTACCAAAAAAAAAAAAAAAGTGTGTGACTTCTGTTTGGGCATGGTGGCACAGGCCTGTAATTCCAGCACTCGGGAGGCTGAGGCGGGAGGATCACCAAGAGTTCAAGGCCAGCCTAGACTACATAGCAAGACCCCCACCAAAACCAAAAAGAGTGTGACTTCTGATAAATTGGAAGCAATGCTTCAGACTAATCTGATACTTTCTAGAATTTCATCCACTGTTAAATAAAATTAACATAATACTATTTTTAGCACAAATATTCCTGACATCCTAATAATGGTAGTATAAGCACATAAGGTGGCTCAAATCATCAAGAATGTTGAGCCAGAGATTTAGGTCAGTGGTTTCGCCGCCTGCTGCACAAGCGCAAGGACCTGAGTTCGATCTCCAGTACCAAAAAAAAAAAAAAAAAAAATCATCAAGAATGTTGAAAAATGGGCTGATGCTCAATTTAGGCCAACTCCAGGTTCCACATTATTCATATTCTCATTTGTATGCATTTATACAAGATACAACTGACTGATTGCTAGGGACAACATAAAGAGATACAAAAAAGCAGGAAGGCTGCATCTTTCACAGCCATATAAACAAGGATCTTTAGAACAGTGCCAACTTTCTGGGTCCCTACATCATGCGCATGCAAAACTGTTCAATGAAGTAAGGTCAATCTGGGCAAACAGGCCAGGAGACAGAGAGCAGACTTAGATTCTTACTGAGCATGCTCAGATCTCTAATGCACCAAAAAGCGAAACTCCCTTCAGGTGGAAGTTTACTGCTTTATAGGCATTATAACATGTAAAAATACATAACCTCTTTTACAACTGCTTGGTTTGTATTTCATAAATTGTATAAAGGCTCCACAGTGGCAATGTGTTAAGTAATCAAAAACTGTCTGGCTACAGTTTCTCTTTCACAAAGCTAACTTCTGCAGCATTACATGCAAAACAGCAAGCGACTCTTCCTGGCAGAGAGGTGTTCCTTCACAGATAGTGATGGGGAGGTGGGTATAAAAAAATTATTTTGACCTCTAAAATATATAGTCCGTTCTGTTAAAGTTATAACATGTAGTATGCACCAGGGTACACATTTATAGAGGAAAGATATCAGTAATTCACTAGTTAAGACTTAATTAACTTGATCTACAGATTCTAAAAAGCCAATCAGTACTAGTACATTCTGCCAAAGAGATAAGGGATTCTTGTTAACTGAACACCCTACAGAATTACAGATAAACTGGAGAGTTCCACTTCAGTTTCCTAAGTACACTAAGTTTTAAAAATCTCTTCACAGGTTTTAAAAAAATTATTAAATAAATACATCCATGTTGACTAAAAAGGCTCATGTCCATGGGGTGCATTTTGCTCCTAGAATAAACATGCTCAGTAAGGCAAAAACTCCAAGCACTTGCAGACTGTGGGAGACAGGCCCTGACTTGTTAGTAGCCATGCCAAGCTGCTCTTTGATTACATGGGATGCACACTCCAGGCCAGCACAAAGGGTAACTGAAGACTGTACCTAACCTGGTGCTAGGCATAGGGGAGAGGGGTACTTTGCAAGGAGGAGCTAGTACACCCTGAGGTAGTAGAAACACACACTAGAATGGAAAGATGTTCTGCTGGGGAGAGAGCCAGGACCCTTCTCCAGCAACTGCCTCACTGCCTTCTGCCTCCTCATCTCTGTCCTACCCTCTGTTGTGGCTGCTGCTGAGTTGGGCTCCGGCGAGCCGTGCTCAGGGCTCCTGCGCACCAGCACCTCCCCCTCTTGCACACGTTTGATCCCTAGGTCAGTGGAGCCGAGTTGGATCGGGGAGCCAGGAATACTCGTGTCAGCCTCGTTTGAGAAGTCAAAGCCATCTGGGATTCAACATATAAAATTTTAGTGCTTTTGTGCTGCTCTACTCTTTTCTGAGCATTGTGACCCAGGCAGATAAGAGAATGTATATATGTATATGATATTAACACAAACAATAATATAGTTACATGTGTGTCCAAGCTTGCACACACATCAGGTGTCAGATGAACAATGTAAGGTTTGCAAATGAATAGGACAGAAAAATAGGTATCATTAAAATGGCGATTGGTATCTCTTCAGCAAGACAGCTTGACTATTCAAGTCTATGAAATACTGCTGGGCTCAGCACTTATAAATAAGGAAAAGCAAAGACAAAAGTCTAAAGGCAAGAATCAATTCTTCAATGAGTTGCTTTATTGCACTGTCAGTTTGTCCATTTAGTTTTCTTCCACAGTGCTCATACACGCACCTCCCCAAGTAAGTAAAGAGGTTTAAAGCAACTTTTTTCCTGTTATTACCAGTTCAAAAAAAAATATAAAAATTAACCTGGTCTTATTTTCTGTTTTAAAATTCATAGAGCAGACTAATATCTTTATACATATTCATACATATTTATACTAAAACAATGTTAAACATTTAATCACATTTCTAGTGCTATTTTTTTTTTTTTTTGGTGCCAGAAATTGAACTCTGGTCCTTGCGCTTGCAGGGCAGGAGGTGGCACCACTGAGCTAAATCCCCTGCCCTCTCGTGCTATTTTTTTATCTTATTTTATTTTTGGTACCGGAGATCGAACTCAGGACCTTGCACTTGCAAGGCAGGCAGCAGAACCACTGAGCTAAATCCCCGGCCCATCTAGTGCTATTTTTAAAAAACAAAATTTTTGGAATTCTCTATGTGCTAATATGACCTGTACAATCCAATAAATTCATTTGATATGGAAGAGCAGACTGTGGGGCTTTGTCCTTACCTTCTCTTCTCCATCTGTGCCGACGGATTGAAGCTGTTGTGATTGCAGTCCGAGAAATCCTCGGCACTGTTGGGGTGACTTCCACTTTCAGGACTTTCTGGCCTTCTTGTGAAGAATCAGGAGCATCAAATGGTAGTGAGTTTTTCATGGCATTGGCAACCTAAAATGATGATATAAGTCTATACAAGTTTAAAATCAACATATACTTTCTGGTTATTCTATATTTCCTATTTCCATAATCTTTTGCATGTCTTCAAACTTGTACTGTTGTAACCTACAAAAGTACAAATGTATCAGGTTTGTATCAATGTTCTTTTTCTCTCTGTCTTTTTTCTTTTCCTTCAGAGACTCAGCAGGTAGTCCAGGCTGGCCTTGAACCCATGCTGTAGTCTAGGCTGACCTTGAACTACAGCCTCAGCCTCCTAAATGCTGGGATTACAGGTATGCACCACCATATCTGGGTTGTAATCTTTTAAGCAGGCTTTTAAATAAACGAGAATTTATTTTTAAAAATGTGAGTCACATATGCTATGGATTCTGTTAAGTTAGCTTTCGAAGACAAAAAGCATTCCAAAGACAAAGTGTTTAATATTTGTGTCCTAGTTATAAAACAAGTTAGAATAAGTTTCTGATTGTTCATATGATAATTAACAAAAAAATTTTTTTTTTTTGTACTGGGGACTGAACTCAGGACCTTGCGCTTACAAGGCAGGTGTGGTGCCACTGAGCTAAATCCCTGCCTCAATAACATACAAAATTTAATCCCCGATAAACACTAGACTTTTCCACTCCTGTTTCCCACAGAGAGGATTTTCCCCTACGTACTTCCCGCATCAGTCTCCACTTTCTGCGGAGCGGGAGTAACTGCCAATGGGCGGCCGGTCCATGTTTCAGCTGGGCAGCACTGATGCAGCGAAGTCCATGAGCTAGCACACTGCCATCCTCCCTCTCCATCCATGTGGGGCAGAGCAACCTGGATACCACGGGTGAAACCAACTGGCCCACTACACCTCCCTCCCCAGGGGCTGCTCCCAGGCCAGTGGAGGGAAAGGGTAAGTCTCCTGAGGAATGTCGGCTTATCTGCAATTATTCTCTGTCATATAGCTCTAGCTGTGGATAGGGAGAGGGGTGTTATTTATCGGGTCCCTGAGAGGTCACCCACTCCTTTACATACAGTGCCTTGGAATGTCACTTCAATTTAATTTATATGTTCCAAGGATACACCAGGAATTTTAAGTTTCATAAATACAAGGTATTACTTTGAAGATGTACCTTTTAATTTTGTTATCTACTTGTTTTAATATAACTTAGGGTAAAATTAGGAATGGTGAGCCAAACTGGTGACACACCTATCTATAATCCCAGCACTCTGGGAGGCTGAAGAAGGAAGATTCCAAGGTTGAGTCCAGCCTGGGCAATTTAGCAACTTAGACACTGTCTCAAAATAAAAAATAAAGGGTGGGGATGTAGGTGAGTGTGAAGGCTCTGAGTTTCAAGCCCCAGTACCTCCCCACCCCAACCATGCACACACACACAGGCTTTTAAAAAAGAACTACCAGTAGAAAATGCATAAATAATACTTACACTAGATAAGCTTAAAAACTAGAAAGCAATAAAAATATCTACAGTTAAATCACCTAGACAACTATTAACATTTTAAGTTTCTTCTGTCTTGTGTCTCTGTTAACAATTTTTTGGTACAAGGTATCGAACACAGGACCTCGAGCTTGCCAGGCAGGCACTGTGCCACTGAGCTACATCACCGGCCCAACACTCTTCTTTAGCATAAATTCTCAAACATGTAACCTTATCAAGTAAATACATAAATTATTCTCTACTGTGGAACATTTACACTATTTTTATTCGTTTGCAATTAAAAATAACACTAATGTTATGCTCATTATCTTTTGAGTATTTAGTTTCCTGGGATACATGCTAGAAAATCAAAGAAAACACAGAGATGAGCACAGTGCTTCTGCAGTGGGGCGGTCAGAGCCATGCCAGTGCCTTGACTGAGTATCCTCTTCTCTCCCCATGCGTACTCAAGTTTGTCAGGTAACCAGTCATTCACATTTCCGACACTTATTTTCTACGGGAGTATGTAGTCTTTCCATTAAATACCACTTTAATTGTCCTTTTCTTGTTATGTCTATGGAGAATATTTTTGGTCATGTACTGCCATTAGTATTGCTTGTATCAATCTTCTTCTGGGCACTTATCCTATCACTAAGCTGAGCATGCCCTCCCAACTCACAATCCTCCTGCCTCCAGCCTCCCAAGTGCTGGCACTACAGGGTTCTAGAGACCTGAGTAATTACTCAAAACCGTTTCTTTTCTCTTTTAGGATTTCAAAATACTTAATTCTTTTATATGAACTTTATTTTATCTTTTTTTAAACCCAATAGTGCATTTTTAGGTATAGGCATGTTTAATGGAGAATAAATAACTCACCAGTAGTGGCTGAGAAAAGAGTTCTAGTTGAGCTCTGTAAATGATATCATCAAGAACTTCCTGGCCAAGGTCCCACTGTCCATTATACCTGTGGAAAAGGAGAAAACTTACCATCTTTACCAAGTATATCTAATCTTTAATACAACTGTGTGTGTGTGTGCGTGTGTGTGTGTGTGTTTTGAGTGTCTTGCTGTGTAGTTCAGGCTGGCTCTGAACTCACTATGTTGCCCAGGCTGGCCTTGAACATGGGGTAATCCTCCTGCCTCAGCCTCCCAGGTGTCTGGATTATTCCAGTGCCACCACACCAGGAGTAATACAACTTCTTTTTATTGTTCCAAGTCCTATGTTTCAGTTGTAAAACAAGATTTTTACATCAGTTTTAAAAAATTTCTTTCTTTCCTTCCTTCCCTTCGGTGTTTTGTGGGGTTTTTTGGTACGGGGGCTCGAACTTGGCACCTTGCGCTTACGAGGCAGGCGATTGGCACCGAGCTAAATCCCCGGCTCCTTTCAGTTTTTTGAGACAGAGTCTCGCTATGTGGTCCAGGCTGGCCTCAAACTCATGGTTTGAGTGCTCATGGCCTTAGCCTCGAGTACTGGGATTATTAGGCATGCACCACCATGCCCAGCCTGTATCATTTATTTCTAGACTGTTATGGTTTGAGCTATAGTAAAAAAACGAAAATTTCAAATACTCTGTTTAAAGTAGTTTAGAGCCAGGTGTGACCCTGTCTCAAAAAGCCAAAAACAAACAAAAAAAAGTAGTTTACAGATATTTCTTCCTATAAATTGTTTTTTATGTTTTGATATTCAGAGTAACCCATTTCATACATTCATAAAAACTTGATTATAAACAATGTAGAGATACATACATAGTTTTCTATACAGAAAGCCTGACAATTTCTAAGATGACTCCATTTTAATATCTAGTTATGTTATACAGTGGCTATTTAAAAAGTAGTGAAAGGAAATCATATTGGAAAAATAAGATTTTTGTTCCACTGTGTAACATGATTCTGTATTACATCTAATAAAGGAAGAAAGGGATACAAAAATTTACCCAAACTTAGTGGGCTCATGAGTCTATACTTACACGGCGTAGTAAACCCCTGTGAGAAGCTGCACCATAAATCCAGGCTCCAGTGCTATTCGACCACAGAGTTCTGTCCAGTGTTTCTCATGTTGCCGTGGAAACCCACTCACACAAACCCTAGGAGAATACAGTATTTACCATGAGTGATTTCCTGATTCAGTAACTTTTTTTGCATTCATATTTTCATTTATTCAGTTGTTCATTCTTCAAACATTTAATGATGCCTGCCATATTCCAGCCATTGTTCTGGGCCCAGGATACAGTCAGAAACAGGTAAAAGATTTCATGAAGCCTGAATCCTAGTGGACTTTATCTGTGAAGCAGTAACTTTTCTCAAATAGCTAACAACCTTTTTCACCAACATCCTTCCCCCCTCTTCTCACACACGTGCCTTTTTTTTTTTTTGGTACTGGGGATTGAACTTGGAACCTTGAACTTGTGAGGCAGGCAGCAGCACCACTGAGCTAAATCCCTGGCCCACATGCCTAACTTTTATTCATCTCAAATGTATCACAGAGAATTACTAAGTGTAGAAACCTCAAAACAAAGAGATGTTTCAAAATACTATTGTCTGTAAAGCCAGTTTATTTACTTGACATTTCTATGGTTTTATTTAGACAGAATAAAACATGCACATGAGCCATTTGTTCATTTTGGCATCGTGCAGCCTGGCTCCAGGGCTGGTGATTCTGATGCCAGCCTGGGCTGCTCTTTCCACAATGCGAGGGAGCATGGCGAGCGGTCTCAGATGGCAAGGCTGCTTGCTGCTCAACAGCGGTGCTCCAGCTCCCAGGCTGTGGACCAGGCCTCCAGAGGCTAGTGGGCAGAATGGCCTTTGTTTCCCTGCTGCTTCCATAACCTTGAATCTTCTCTGTGCCCTGTGATCAACACCCCTGGGTTTCTTCCAGTTATTTGTGTTCTGGCACATCCCTGTGAGCGATGGTAGATGAACCTGTGGGTCCTCTTCCTGAGGCTCTTAGAGTTAGAAGAGTCTGAGAGCGGCCACAGTGTCCACAGGAGATGCTGCCACCACGTAGCCAGTGAGGAAGCAGAGAGCTGGGGGCTACTTCTAATCAGAGAAACACGAACCTGCCTTCCATCCCACTTCCATCCCACTGAGATCCTTCCAAAAATACTACCCTTCATAATTATCAAAAGTTGTGATGTGCTTATATTATTTTAATCAATTAATTTTTCAGGATAAATGTACAGGTGAGTCCAGAAAAGAAATTTTTATTATTTGGTGCCTTATGGTCTCAATAACTTTTTAAAAATTTTATATACACATACATATATATATTAATGACAGTTAAGTGACTGACAAAATATTCCAAGTTTTCAATAGGATTATATTAAGATAGAACTGTGTGGGGAAAGTAGAATGCAAATTCAATTTCAAGAGGAAAAAGGAATAGCGTAATGTCAGACTATTAAAGAAGAGGCTTGCTCATTTATTCTTCAACAGATGCTGGTATCAAATCTTTGTGTACATTATATACATTTAAAATAACCCAGTGGGTGGCAGCCATTAATCGCACTATGCAGTTCAAACTGACCTTGAGCTCACTATGTAATCTACGCTGGCCTCTAACTCAGGTAATCCTCCTGCCTCAGCCTCCCTAGTGCTGGGATTACAGATGAGAACCACTACACCTGGTCAGGGACCAAAAGTCTTATTCTTATTGTAGATAGGTAAGTTAATTAGATATCTTATAGCCAGTTAGACAGGGCCAGCACAGAGGACAATTGAGACACATTCACTGAAGGCTAGCATTGTAAAAAGAACAGAAACTATTACACCCGGTATGCTTCCCCTAGGGATAAACAGCAATGACTGATATTCTGAATAGGTACCAATCACCTGGGCTGGGGACCAAGATCTTAACCCACCTCCTTCAGGAAAGATCCCTGATCCACCCCTTACTGAAAAGCCTTGCTCATTCCTTGTAAACTAGCTACCTGACTTGCTTTGCCATTCGATCCCCATTTAATTAGTATTACCTAAGTGACTGTACTTGTAATCTTATTGGTTGATCATTGTTTTGCCCCACCTTGTGATTTCCCATTGGATCAATATTAATCTTACTAGGGCTGGGGATTTAGCTCAGTGGCACCACACCTGCCTGGTGAGCATAAGGCCCTGAGTTTGATCCCTGTTAACAGAAAAAAATTAATTTTACTACTTGACTATAGTTCTGTCCCACCTTGAACTCACCTCACCTGGTGGCTTTGCTCCATAAAACCCCTCTGGAAAACAGGGTCCTCGGGCAACCCATTTTCTTGTTCCCCCTCTGTCTCTCTTAGACAGAAGCTATCTTTCTCTCAATAAATTCTTCTTACTCTTAAAAACAACTACAACAATAACAAAAAAATCCAGTGGGCTCTCTCTCTGACTCTCACTTTTTCAAGTTGATGTGTGGATACAGCCAAGTGGCTGGAACCTAACTGGCCAGCACCTTGACCATGGACTTTCCAGTCTCCAGAACTGTGAGGAAAAACTGCTGCTGGTTCAGCCCAAACAGAAATAACCCAGTGATTATTAAAAATTATCCCAATATTTACATATTGGAAACTGTATTATTTGCAGCTATTTTAGAAAGAAAAATGTTAAAGCTGTGCAAGGTGGTGGACGCGTGTAATCCCAGCTACTTGCGAGGGAGAGGCAGAAGAATCTCACATTTAAGAGCACTCTGCCCCACTCAGTGCGACCTTATCTCAAAAACAAAAAAATGAAGAGCCGGGATGTAGCTTGGCAATAAAGGGCTTGCCGTCAAGCCCCTGGGTTCAATCCCTAGCACTACCATAAAAAAAAAAAAAAGAAAGAAAAGAAAAGAAAAAATAAGATGAAAAACTTAAAATGTCTACTTAAAAATGTAAAAAGGCCGCCTGCTGTGTAAGCACAAGGACCTGAGTTCGATCCCTGGTACCAAAAAAAAAAAAAAAAAAAAATTTAGTACCCTTTTTACTTTTTTTTTTGGTACTGGGGATCGATCTCGGGTCCTTGCACTTGCAAGGCAGGCGACAGAACCACTGAGCCAGATTCCTGGCCAAGGGTACTAAGTTTTTCAAAGTTCTTTAGGGATATGAAAACAAGTGTTAGAGGACTACTAGCCTCTGCCATAGCTTTTGTTACGAAGAAATCCTATTAAAGATGATGATAACCCTGCCAGTGAGAAGCCTGGCCTATTTCTTTTAATGAACCCAAAACAGCCTCTTAATAAATTGATCTGTAGATTGGAGGTAAGGTCTTGAAGAATGTATTCTCTAGAAAACAGAATCTACGTTAACAACAAGAACTACATTAACCATTAATATTATTAGCTCATTTAAGAAATATTATAATAATATACTTATTTTACAGAATCTATAAAATCATTGATATGGTATTTAGATTGGCTTTCTCCCAACTAGCAAAATTAATGTGGAGATTTGTTATAAAAAGGACTGCAGGAGACATCCCTGCCCAGTACTAGCAGGCCATGAGAGGCACCTGCTGCTTGCTGTCCGTAATTCAGCTGTGTTGTTTTACATCGGGACTCAGACTGAAGCTCTACATGACTCAATGCACGTGTCAGAGGTGGACTGGGCGAGCACAGCCCCTCCCTCGATGGCTGGACGGAGACCCAGGCCCTGGTCTGTGAAGTGCAGGGCACTGCTGAGTTAGTGCAGCTGAGGTTGGCGTGACCCCAATTAAAACCCTTTCCCCTGGATCATGGCTTCTCACGGACCCGATGGGTTGCTGCTCATTGCACCCGGTCCCAGTACAGGTCTGTTCCATCTAAGCAAGATCAGCAGTGCCGATTCCCTGACAGCCCGGCCTGGCACCGTTGTGCCAGGTGTTCGGCAGCGTCTCACTAGGTGCCTTCTAAGCTCCCCTGCTCCCTATTCCTCCCACGACTGTAGTCAATAAACACTGGATGTGCTCGGGGGCCTTGTCTTTGCTGCCATTAGCAGTGCTGACCAGGACCCGAGACTCAGCCTCTCCACTCTAAGTCTCGTTTCTGTCTGTCCTTGAATTCGCCTTGTGCTGCAGTGGCTCGCAAGCCAGGACCCACAGCAGAGGTCCTGGTAACGTCCCCTTCCCTACAAAGGAACACACTCTAGGAGTTACACCCCATGCCATCCCCTTCTAGACGCAGGGCTGTGATTTGCTTCCACACAAAGGTCCTTAAATGTGCACAATCATGAGATTATGTGGAATACAATCATGAGGCTTGGGGCATCACCCTTAGCCCCCCACTCTGGAGAAGCAGGCTGCCTTGCCACAGGCCGGCAGAGCCAGGAGGCCCATGTGGCGTGGACCTGAGGGTGGACCCCACAGGCAGCCAACAAGAGCCCCAAGCCCTCAGACCTCCTGCACAGACAGAATTCTGCCCACGGGGTGTCAGCCCTGGGACAAGACTGCAGCTCCTGGACATGCTCATCTCTGCCTTGCAAACCTGAAGCAGAGGACCCAGCTAAGCCGGACCTAGACTCCTGGCCATACAAACTGTGAAATCACAAATGTGTGATGTGTTAAAAAAGGTAATTTGTTATGCAGCAACAGAAAACTAATACACTAGTCAACCTTTGGTGGCGGACAGTTTCCTCAAGTAAAACTCAGTTGGGCAGGATAAACTCAGAGCTGAAATGCTGGAACTGTGTATTATTTAAATCTTTAGTTTCTATAATGGAAATTAAAATTTCAGCCAGGTTTGTCCAAATTATTAGAAATTCTGCTTTGAGATTATAATGAGACACACAGAACAACCCCCACATGCATCAGCATACACACAAAACCACAGAGATAATTGGTATCATAGCTGCGTTTCCCCCAACACTGGGGCAGTTGTCTGTGAAATGTATGAAAGAAAGGTTCATACTCCTGGAGACTTTCCCAAGTGCAGCCCTGCAAACCTTGACAGGAAACTGTCTAAATACTCAACACTCTCAACCCAAGTTATCAAAGGTACTATCTAGGAAGTGGTATCACTAGACAATCCTAAACTTAGATGTCTTGACCTAACTCCTTGTTCAGGAAGGAAATATCCCTTTAATGCTAAAATAATTTTCAAGAAGTCAGGAGGGATGATAAGGCTTCCAACAGGGATGTAAGCCCCAGAGTTTTGTTAAATGCTCTGCCATGAGAGGCTGGAACATCGTCTGGCAAATAACAAGCTCAATAAATATTTGTCAAATAAATGAACGAGTAGGAAAGCTCACAATAATTACTCTTCTCACCTGGAGCCCATCCGACAAAGGGACTGGTAAGATGAGGCGGGCATATACACGATAGCAGAATTGTAACACAGCATGAGAAAACTCAGGACTTCAAACCTAGGGGGAGAAAAAAGGAAACAGTTTTACAAACAATATTTCTGCCATAGATTGCAGTAAATTATTTAGGGGATGGTTATAATGTTTCCTTCATATTGACCTTCATGATGTCTCAGGCAGATATTATAGCAGCCTCCTCATTGGTTGGTTTCTGTTTCCATATCCCCTGCTGCCTTCTCTATTTTTTCTTCAAGAAACAATTCACCACGCTATCAACAGAAGCCTATCTTCCTACTGGCTGCACAATAAAACCCAAACATTACAGGGTCTTTACAGTCCACCCTCAACCCACCTCTCGAGCCTTATTCCCTCCACTGTCCACCATACCACAGTGCATACCACACACTGTTCCTCCTACCATCCCATGAATACTCCCTCAACTTTCCTAGCTCCTTGCTTTCACACTTGCTGCTCCATCTTACTAGAATATACCTTATCATGTTGCACTAGGCATATACCTTGCCACTGAGCTACACCCTAGTGCAGTGGAGGTGAACCTTATAGAACTTTCATTGCTAATGAACAGCCCTCTGTGGCACGTGCGCTGTAAGTCTGCCACCACTGCCCCAGTGCATTAGTCATTTCTTTAATTCCCTAGCCAACATGGGCTTCTCCACATGTTAAACACATTCATAATGCTGTTACTGCTGTGTCTTGTCATACAAATGCTATATGGAATGCAGATATCCAGATAAACACATTTGCTTTTACTTAAGAGAGTCATAGTGGAAGACCAGAAGATGGCCTGCTTAGAAAATAATTCTGCCCTGCCCCAAGAGAAGTCTGGCCTTTGGTTCTAGGAAGTGATATATGTCATATCTGATAAGACTATCTTTGTTTATAACACTATACCAGAAAGAACCACCATGGGATTTAATATGGAGACCAGATCACCTGTAGCAGCTGACTAGGAGACCAGGATAACCAACCACACAACCAATTAATCTAATGATTCATGGCTATATGATGAAGCTTCAACCAAACCTGGACACCAAAGCTTGAGAGAACTCCCCTAGACAGCAACACTGTCCACTGTCATACATTTGAGTCCTGACTCCTTGACAAAGGACAAAAGTTTTGTGTCCGGAGTCCTTCCATACTCACAATATGCATCTCTCCTTTTGTCTGATTTTACTCTGTATCCTGGCCCTATAATACACCCTAACTGTGAGCATAAAAGCTTCCAAGGAATTCTGAAAGTCTTTCTTATACATAATTAAACAAGAGGGTGCAACACCAAAAGCTGAGTTGCTACCAGAAATGAGGGCAGTCTAGCGATAGGGACCTTTGCAGATTGTCTAATTTCAGACATGAATCCCAATCTACAATCCAAAAAGCAAGGTGTGGGGCCGGGGATTTAGCTCAGTGGTTCCAGCGCCTGCCTCGCAAGTGCAAGGTCCCGAATGTGATCCCCGGTACCAAAAAGAAACAAAAAAACCCAAAACAAAACAAAAACAAAAAGCAAGGTGTAGAGAGCAAATAAAGTGCCCAAGGGGCAAGTTTCTAAACTGCAACACTAGAGCATGAGTCCTGGTCTGGTGATTCCATGCTGACTTTGACTTTCCGTAACTTACCACCACCACCACCAGACAGGGGCCCTTTCATTACAACTCAACTCTTACCCAAAATGCCTGGGACAAGAAGTATTTCTGATTTGGGGTTTCTTTTTAGATTTTACAATGTTTGTGTATATATAATGCAGTATCTTGGGGATGGGATCCAATCTGAAGACACATTCATTCATGTTTCATGTATACCTTACACACAAGAGCCTGAAGGTAATTTTATACAATACTTAGTGCACTGCCTTTTCATTGTGTCCCAATCACATGTGGTCAGGTGTGGAATTTTCTACTAGTGGTGTCAGGTTGGTGCAGTTTCAGATCCTGGAGCATTCTGAATTTCTGATTAGTGATACTCAACCTATTCTATGAACACATTTTACCTGTGTGAAGCAGTCAACTTTTGGATTCTTCTCACATCGAAGTCAAACTGAAGTAATTATAGTCACTGAGTAAGCATAAGTTCACAACTGTTACTCACTATAGGTTTGACTATTACCGGTTTTGCGCAGTGAACGTTTCTCTCTGAGGATGAAGATCACTATAAACAACTCTGATGAGGTCATGCTGACACAACGCACCTTCTGTCAAAGCCATGGACCCAATCGTTGAGGGCTAGAAAAATAAGGTACCGTATGAGGCAGCATCTTTAAGATCAAGTAAACCTCTGTATCATGGAATCATATTTCATTTTGTTTAAATAAAAGATCTCTCCATTTCTCAGTTACATAAATCCTACAGCTTCTTTTGGAAATTATGTAAAATATAAAATAAAAATACACTGCGTAAGTATTTCAAGGTTATAAAACGGTTCCATATTTAGGAAAGAATATGAAAAGACTAGGGCCAGGGATTTAGCTCAGTGGTTCCACCACCTGCCTCACAAGCACAAGGTCCCGAGTTCGATCCCTGGTACCGAAAAAAAAAAAAAAAAAAAAAAGAAAAGACTAAAGGTTAAAACTAAATCAATTTTACCGGGGATTTAGCTCAGTGGTTTCACCACCTGCTGCGCAAGTGCAAGGACCCAAGATCGATCCCCGATATAAAAAAAAAACAACAAAAACAAACTAAATCAATTTTAATTTCTTTGTACCAGAACACAGAATACCACTTGTCATTATATAATGCAAACAACATTAAAGACATCCAAAGTTTCTTTAATACTGACATAACTGATTGCACTTTTCTCTTTCTCTCTCTTGGTTTTTTGAGACAGGGTCTCACTTTGTAGTTTAAGGTGACCCTGAACTCACTATGTAGCCCAGGCTGGCCTTGAACATGCGGAGATCCTCGTACCTCAGCCTCCCGGGTGCTGGGATTACAGGCATGCGCCACTATGCTGGCTCATGTTTCTCAATTTAGAAGACCCATCTATTAATCAGTGCTTTACTACCTTCCATTTTATTTCATAACATGATAAAAAACTTAAATCTAGTACTCTGAAATATCCTATACTAAAATAAGTCTGGACTAAGTAGGAGACAGGAGACATGCTATTTCTAACACAAAGCAAAGTCCCATGAGAATTAGTTAAGAAAACAAGAGGCACAGAACTATGAACCAAGCAGGCTATTGTGTGCTGACAGGAAAAGGGATATAATTTTTAGAGCAAGGTTCTCTAAATGCTTTCTTAACAACTTTGCGCACTAACAGCCACTAGAAATCACAAGCTTGACTCATATTTCTGTATTAGATTTTATTTAAAAAGAGCAGGATCCTCTGATTTCTCTTCAGATCGTATAGATCTTTCACCTTTGAAAAAAGAGTTCAGCTTAACAGGGGTCATCTACCTTTATAATCACGTTCTTGTTTTGTTCACCCAAATAAATATTAACAAAAAATGGAGAGAAAAGTATATTATTGAAAACCAGAATCTGTCAATTAGACTCTTTCACATGGAAATGCAATAGACTGTTAACATTCTTTGAAGTTATTTTCCAAAAGAGTAATAAAAATGAGTTAAGGGCCGGGGATTTAGCTCAATGGTTCCACCGCCTGCCCTGCCAAGTGCAAGGACCCGAGTTCAATCCCTGGTACAAAAAAAAAAAAAAAAAAAAAATTAATCTAACATAGATAATTTTGAAGCAATATAAAAGACCTTAAAATTTAAAAATATTTTGAAAATTCATTTAAAAAAATAACAAAATTAAAAATCTTGGTGGAAAAATAAAAATAAAAATTAAGACGAATTTTTTCCATTAATTACTTTCTGCCTCTCTTAATACAGGTTAGTCTTATTAATAACAAATCATCCACTTTTTTTTTTTTTTGGTACTGGGGATCGAACTTGGGTCCTTGCACTTGCGCAGCAGGCAGCAAAATCACTGAGCTAAATCCCCGGCCCAACAATCATCTACTTTTTTTGTTTTGGTGCCAGAGATCGAACTCGGGTCCTTGCGCTTGCACAGCAGTCGGCAAAACCACTGAGCTAAATCCCTGCCCCCCAATTATCTACTTTTAAGAAATAGGTCAGTAAAGATATGTTATCTCTAAAAAACCTGACCTCTAATCTCATACTCAATATAATTTTAGACAATTGCATCTTTCCAGTGTTACTTACTTCATGATATATTGAAGGCTTGGATAAGGAAGGGATAGTGAAAGACAAAACTTTATTGTTTCCATCTTTATCAGCAATTTCCTATAATCAAAAAATATACAAAGATAATGAAACAATCAAATAACCAAAGATCTGTAAGACATAATAATTACTTTCTTAGATTACAGAATATACCATTAGGAACTAAGATTTCTAGAAATAGTAATATATAAAAATATTACTACCTATCATATCTTCTTTAACTAGTACAGTTATAACCTAAACAGAAATATTGAACACAATTCTACACTAACTCTAACAACATGACAGCCAAGACAAAAAGCAGCACACAAATCAATTCTTTTGTTTTTTGTGGGATTTTTTTGGTACCGGGAATTGAACTTGGGTCCTTGTGCTTGTGAGGCAGGAGGCGGAACCACTGAGCTAAATCCCCAGCCCACAAATCAATTCTTGCATTAAACTTACATACAGAACAGGGAGATTTATTAGATCTTCTAGTAGAAGAACCACTGAGCAAAATATATATTAAAATTAAAGGTCTTAGGCAAGAGATCCACACTTCCCAAAATATGAAAAGTACATTGCTCTAATACAGAATGATTTTTTCCAATGTATAGACAAATTTAATTATTTATGGTACACAATGTGATCTTATGTATGTTCACAGAATGATGACCATAATCAAGCTAATTAATCTTTTTTTGGGGGGGTGAAGAAACTTAAGAATTAATCTTGAATAAGAAACTTTATGACTAAAGCTGACCTGAAATAAACTACATGTTTATTAATAAAGGTCCAAGTACTTAAGAATAAATAAACTGGTACTTAATTTCTACTGAGTGCTAAGAAAATTCTGGAGTTTAAAAAAAAAAATTTTGTTTGTGACTTTAAAAGCACATTACTTCTTCACTGAAAGAACAGTACCACTTGTTACCTCTCCCATCTCCCCTGGGTGTCAGTAAGTACCTCCCTACAGACACAGTGCTCAGGGATCAAATGCTGCTGCCTCTCCTCCCCTCCCCACACTGCTTTCTTTTACACCTGTGCCACTACACATGCTGGCGGGGACGGGGGGATGGAAACCACAGAGAAAGGACTGTCCTCAGCACACAAGGATGGCGAAGGAGCTAGAGACTGCACTGCATTGAGGGAAGCCACAATAAAGCAGCTGCCATCACCAAAACTGCCTCACAGAGCTGTCCACCAGGGCTCATCCGAATGCAGCAGCTCACAGGAGAGCACCAATTATATGAGCAGTAATAACACACCTCTAATTCTGGCAGGGAAATTCCCTAGATAGCTCATGTAACTTCTCTGTAGTCAGAGGATTTACCACCAAAGCTGGCTCATTTTACTTCAGATTGTTTACACTAAGATGAATGGGCTTGACTAAAGTTAGGCCAAAATTTTAAATTTTTTCCTAAATTTTCAAATGAAGCCATATCCTGTTGATTTATCTTTGCGCACACGCAATAGGGTGTTGCTCTGCAGTTCAGGCTGGCCCTGAACTCACTGTGTAGCCCAGGCTGGGGAGTGCTGGGATTACAGGCTTATGCCACCAATCCCAGCCTTATCTTTGTGTATTTGTGGAGGAAAGAAGGCTGAAATTTTCTGAGGGCTGTGTGAGGCAAATAAATGCTAAAAAGGAGGAAAAAAGAAATGTCTACACAGGAAAAAAAAAAAACCAGTATGGTTTAAGAAAAACAAAGAAAAGTGGGCTGGGGATTTAGCTCAGTGGCACCGCGCCTGCCTCGCAAGCACAAGGTCCTGAGTTCAATCTGCGGTACCAAAAAAACAAAAACAAACAAAAAGACCCCCAAAATCACAGTTCTGTGTGGGTGCATCCAGGTAAACATCCAACTCTGCAAGGACGGCACAGGAAGAGCATCGCCAGCCATCCTCAGAGCCTTCAGTCCTCTCTCCTCCCACTTACCTGCTCACCTGCAGCCCCCACACTTCTAGTCAACCCCTGAAGCCCCACCTGTGCTAATACACCTCCCATCTAGAGGCGCAATCACATCTCAATCTTCAGGCTCCACTTAAGGTCCTAGTGCTTGGAAATGTCAGTAGTTTCTTTTCTCCTTCTCATTTCCATTGTGTCCATACTCAAACGTATATAAACATAATATGCCTAGTAGTGTACTGGACTTCTCCCCAATAAGAGATATCCTCCTCTTAGAGCAACAGAAATCCCACGTCTCCTTCCCCACTCCTCTCAGTTACATATGTCAACTTCAAAATATAAGGAATGGTGATTAAATTAAACTTTTAATTTCAGGGTCTCATCATCTTGGCACAATGAATAATTACTTTCCTAGTGCATATTAAAGAAAACCTAAACTTTTCACTTCAAAAGCACTCTCTAAAACTGATAGGAAATCATCTTTCATAGCTTGCATATATACTCTGTGCTTCAAACAGAATTGTTTTCCTTTGTCGAGGGTATGATTTGAGATATATTAATTTATTTTTATTTATTTATTTATTTTTGAGACAGGGTCTCACTACCTGGCTCAGGCTGGCCTTGAACTCACTAAGTAACGCAGGATGGACTGGCACTCAGTGATCCTCCTACCTCAGCCTCCTGCATGCTGGGATTACAGGCGTACACCATCACACCCAGCCCCATTCAGCTAATATTTCAGTTTCTTTCTGAAATTCTCTTTACACACAAACTTTGTCATCTATAAACATGTCTTCTCCAGAACAGCAAAAGTTGTCCCAAAAGCAGGTATCATTTCTAAGCCTGTATTTTCAGTGTACAATTCTGTCTCATGCAGCATTATTAGTCAAATACTATAATTTGAAGAAATGTCCTTAGATATTAACAATCTAATCAATAATGGTTTCATCTATTTTCTAAAATGCTTATCATTACTTCTGTACTCAATTTAATTAGTTCAAATAAATTACTCAATAGTCTATTTTTCTCTAGACATTCCTTATACTTTATTTCAGAGGACTTTTAAAAATATTTTGAATTTCCCAAACTATTATCTTCAACTTACCAAATTGTAAATTCCTAACAGAAGTGCTTCAATGCAACCATTACTCTGTCTGTCTCGGCTAACTGTAAGCCATAAATAAACCCACATCAACTCTGGCAAAAACTGCAGTGTGAACCTCTTAAGTCGAACTTCAGAACTACGATAGAGTTCAAACAGCTGATGGCAGACAGGCTCTAGGAGCTAAATGAAAAAAAAGTGTATTAGTTATTTCCTTTACGGGGCTGTAATTGTATTCTTTAAAAAGCACATATAACTTGTACAGTTTTTTTTTTTTGGTACCAGGGATCAAACTCGTGACGACCTTGCGCTTGCGTGGCAGGTGCTGGAACCACTGAGCTAAATCCCCGTCCCCTAACTTGTATAGTATTTTAAAAGTAAATTCTTCCTCCAGGTTTTTTTTTGGTGGGGGGGGGGTACCAAGGATGGAACTTGGGACCTTGTGCTTGTGAGGCAGGCTCCAGAACCACTGAGCTAAATCCCTGGCTAAAAGTAAATTCTTAATATTAATTTCTCCATAGTTTGAGAATTCAACCAAATCTCCACTTCGAGACCATATATTAAACTGACCAATCCACTAACCGTAAGAGCTTTTGTCCATACATTATCACCATAGTTTTTAATATACTGTACTACCAAATTAGACATTTAGTCCTTTAATTATCTACGTTTATATTTGGTGATTTTCCCTTTCTGTTCTTAACAACTCTTACAATTCTCTATTTAGAAGTTTCCATTGCAATAAAATAATTTCCAATGGTCTTGCTGTAAATAGTTTATATCTTCAAGAGAGACTATGATTTAAACAAGCTACACATCACTCATTAGGGGAAGAGATTTTGCATTACATACTATTCGGGCATCCAAAGTTCCAGCTAATATTTTAAATATATATAAGTAAAACAAACTGCAAATTATGTTTTAAAATCTAAATTTTCTCTAGTTATATTTATTTGAAAGATTTCAAAAGGGAGCAAAGAATGTAGAAATAGTGTTTTCAATGTGTTTAACTGGCTAATTGTTCATATGCTGTCACAAAAAATGCGTAATGATCAAAAAAAAAAAAGAAAATGAGTAATGAGGGAACTAAAACTGAAGAACAGAATAACAGATATAGAAGACAGGTTTGCACTAGTGATCATGAAAAGAGAGATTTCTTAAAAATAACAAGGGACCAGAGAAATCAATCCAGTAGTTGCTAGATGATGCAAAGAAAAATAACAAGACTGATCAGAGTCAATGAAAAAGCAGGAGATGGTGCAAAAGACATAAAAAAATTGTTCACAGAAGTAATGGCAGAAAACTTCCCAAACAGGGAAAAAGAATTTGACATACAGATAAGTGAGGCATATAGGACTCAAAGTAGCCATATTAAAAAAAAAAATCTTTCCCAAGGAATATAATAGTCAAGATTCCAGAAATTCAACACAAGGACAGAATATCAAAAGCTGTTAGAGAAAAGAAACAAATCACATATAAAAGAAATCCCATCAGAATCAGAACATACTTTTCAATCCAAACTCTCAAGTCAAGGAGAGCTTGGAGTAAAGTATTTCAAGCCCTAAACGAAAAACCACCTCCAACCGAGATTGATGTACCCTACAAACAAAGAACACCTGAAGAAATCCATGACCACCAAACCAGCATGCATGTTCTGAAGGATATTCCAGAAAGAGATAACAAGGATTATAACTCCATGAACCCAAACAGAATGAATCCAACAAAGGCAAGAAATTAAACAGAAAAGGAAAGAAGGAACCCAACAACAAGAAAACAATATGACAGATAAGATAGTATGTATCAGTTATAACCATCAATGTTAATGGTCTCAATTCATCAATCAAAAGAAACAGGCTGCCAGAATGGATCAGGAAGCAAAATCCAACAATATGCTGCATACAAGAAACACATTTAATTCAAAACCAAATTCAAAGACTAAAGTTAAGAGATGGAAAACAATATTCCATGTGACAGGAATCCAGAAAAAAAAGCAGGGGTAGCTATTCCATTTGCAGACAGACTGGATTTCAAGCCAAGACTGATTAAGAGAGACAAAGAAGGTCACTACATCCTGGGTAAAGGGAACAATCCAGGACAAAGAGATAACAATCATAAATATTTTACTTTTTTTGGTACTGGGGATTGAACTCAGGACCTTGCCCTTGCAAGGGAGACGCTGGAACCACTGAGCTAAATCCCTGGTTCCAACAATCATAAATATTTATCCAACAAACTATATAAAACAAAATTTTTGGGGGGAGTACTGATCGAACTCAGGACCTTGCGCTTGTGAGGCAAGTGGTGGAACCAGTGAGCTAAATCCCTGGTCTATATAAAACAATTAGTGAACATGAAAAATCATATAAGCCCTGGGCCAGGGATTTAGCTCAGTGGTTCCGCCACTTGCCTTGCAAGCTCAAGGACCCGAGTTCGATCCCTGGTACCAAAAAAAAAAAAAAAATCATATAAGCCCTAATACAGTTGTAATGGGGGACCTCAATACCCCACTGTCACAAATAGATCAACTAGACAAAAAATCAACAATGAAATATTAGAACTGAACCAATCTTTTGAACAAATGGACTTAGTGGCTGTCTACAGAATGTTCCACTCCATAATGTCAGAATACACATTCTTCATAATACAGGGGACATTCTCCAAAACAGACCACATACTAGCTCACAGAACATGCCTGAGTAAAGATAAAGGAAATGAAATTACTCCATGCATATTATCAGACCATAGTGCAAAGAAATTGGAAATCAATGGCAAAAGAAACCACAAGAATTTCATAAACACATGGAAATTAAATAACATCCTCCTGAACAATCAATGGGTCACAATAAAATTAAATCACACAGTTTCTACAATTAAGCTATAATTTTACAATACAACACAGCAGAACTTATGGGATGCAATGAAAGTAGTCCTAAGAGTGAAATTTATGGCGGTGAATACCCACATCAGGAAAACAGAGCGGGCTCAACTAAACAACCTAATATTGAACCTCAAGCTTCTAGAAAAAGAAGAGCAAGTCAAACCCAAACCTCATAGGAGAGAAGAAATTATAAAAACCAGAGCAGAAATTAATGCAATGGAGACTAAAAAAACAATACAATGAATCAATGAATCAAAGAGTTGGTTCTTGGGCTGGGGATTTAGCTTAATGGTTCTGGCGCCTGCCTTGCAAGCGCAAGGTCCCGAGTTCAATCCCCAGTACCACACAAACAAAGAGTTGGTTCTTTGAAAAATTAAATAAAATTGACAAACCCTTAGCCAACCTTATCAAAAAAAGGAAAGAAAAGACTCAAATTCATGCAATTAGGAATGAAAGGGTGAAAACACAACAAACCCTGCAGAAATCCAAAAACTCATCAATACCTACTTTGAGAACCCATATTCTAATAAGATGAAAAATACAGAAGAAATGGGCAGATTCCTAGATACATATGAATTACCAAAACTGAATCAAGAAGATATTAAAAATTCTAAATAAATGAGTATCAGCCAATGAAACTGAAGATGTAGTTAAAAACCTACCAACAGAGAAAAGCCCAGGCCCTGATGGATTCACTGCTGAATTCTACAAGACATTTAGAGAAGAACTACTGCCACTACTCCTCACTCTTTAATGAAATTGAAAGGGAAGCAACACTTCCAAAGTCATTCCTGGAAGCAAGCATCACCCTGATTCTAAAACCAGAGAAGGATCCAACCAAAAAAGAAAATTACAGGCCAATCTCCCTATTGAACACATATGCAAAAATCCTCAATAAGAAAGATACTGGCAAACAATGCAGCAAATCAAGAAGGTTACACACCACGACCAAGTTGGATTCACCCCAGGGATGCAGGGATGGTTCAACACACACAAATCAATAAATGTAATACACTGTATTAACAAAGCCAATGACAAAAGCCATATGATCCTCTCAATAGATGCAGAAAAAGCGCTTGACAAGGTCCAACACCCAATTCATGATAAAAACCCTTCAGAAAATTAGTAAAGATGGTCTTTTATCTCAATCTGATAAAAGCCATCTACAACAAACCAACAGCCAACATCATACTAAATGAACAAAAACTGAAAGCTTTCACTCTAAAATCAAGAACAAGACAAGGATGTCCACTGCCACCCTTCTTGTTCAATATAGTTCTGGAAACACTAGCCAGAGCAATTGGACAAGAGACAGAAATAAGGATAGGAGAGAAAAGTTAAATTATCATGATTTGCGAATGCAGTGATACTTTACATAGAAGACCTCAAAAACTCCACCCAAAGACTTCAAGATTTGATAACCAAATTCAGTGGTGTAGCTGGATACTAAAAAATCAACAGCATTTTTGTACATGAATAAAACTGAAGGAGCAGTTACAGTTAATGACAATTTGAATGGTTTTGTATGCTTAATGCAGTCCGAACAAAACTGTGACTTTTAAATGCCTAAAACTAATCAGAAACTATGAAGTAGTATGTGTGTGCATACACACACACACACACACACACACACACACACACAAATATATTTTTTTTGCAACACGGTCTGCAATATAGTCCAGGCTGGCCTCAAACTCATGATCTTACTGACCATGTCCAGCTAACAAGTTTTTAAATTAAAATTTAACATTAACTCTTTAAAAAATGAATAATGGTATAGTAACTTCATACGCTTACTTCTATTCTAAATGACTGAAATAACACATTTAGAAATCTTGAATGGAGCTATATATGTCTGTAATAATCTAGCACTCTAGAACAAAGTCATTACTTTTACAAGTGTAAAATTAAAAGTAAAAAAAAAAGCCATGCTAATAGTACAGTTAATATTTAGATAAATTAAGCTTGATTCTTGAAGAACAACCTAAGTCTTCAAAACTTCACAAACACACACACACAGTAAATACTAACCTCTTTATGTGAAATTACTATCAAGGTGCAGTTTAAAAATCTTAACTCTTCCAGCTCTCTCCTTACTGAAGTCCAGGCCAGTCAGACAATTTGTCAAAGGTCACAGAAAATGGTGGAGGATGATGCTAAATTCAGGTGTTCTAACATCAAAGTTAATATTCTCATTTTACCATATTTTTATAATGGAATAGATGTAGCAGTTGGCTAATTATAAAAAGTATATTCCACTTAGCACCAATAATGAACAATAAGCTTTTGAAAATAGTCAACTGCTAGAATCTATCTTAAATGCTCAAAGCACTACTCAGCTCTTCTGAGAAGTGACAGGTTGTGCCAGTTTTCATAAATGTTAAAAATACATACTCTAGCTCATACTCACTGTCCTCGTCAGTAAAAAGAACCGCCAAAGGTCGGCTTCTCTAAATTTTATGGACCACAATACAACTACCATGAGTTTCATTGTAAAGACCTTAACCCTTTTTTCTCAGTTGTGAGTGGTACAATGGGATATAGGGTCCTACATTTAATTAAGCACAGGGAAGAAATACAGAGTTTCCAAAATTATTACTGTTATTTTCTAAAAGGGGCTGTTTGGGCATGCTGGCAAACTAGGAACTTTTATTCAGATACCACCAAAAAATGAGACTCATAAAATACAACCTTTAATTCTTTTTTTTTTTTTTTTTGCGGTACTGGGGATCAAACTCAGGACCTTGGGCTTGCAAGGCAGTTTTTTTTTTTTTTTTTTTGCGGTACTGGGGATCAAACTCAGGACCTTGGGCTTGCAAGGCAGGCCCAGCACCACTAAGCTAAATCCCCAGCCCCACAAAACCTTTAATTTAATTTAATTTAATTTATTTATTTTTGGTACCAGAGATCGAACTCGGGACGTCGCGCTTGCAAGGCAGGCGATGGAACCACTGAGCTAAATCCCAGGCCCAAAACCTTTAATTCTAAGCATATGTATCATGCCACCAAGGTCTCAAATTCTCAACATAATAAATGACTCTAAAAAAAAAAAAGGGCCAGGGATTTAGCTCAGGGGTTTTGCCACCTGCCTCGAAAGCACAAAGTCCTGAATTCGATCCCCGGTACCAAAAACTAAAATCTGTGTAAAAATGAATGACTCTGACCTCCCTTCTCCTAAATGGTATAATCATTCACATAAAAATGTTTTTAAAAAGTTATCTTCAGGTTTAAAAAAAAGTTTAAGAATAATGCTGGGGATGGTGGTGCATGCCTGTAATCCCAGTCCTCGAGGACCTGAGAGAGGAATATCACAGAAGAGTTCCAGGCCAGGCTGTACTATATAGGGAGACCCTGTCTCAAAAAAACAAAACAAACAAACAAACAAGAATAACTGACACCATTCCCAAAGTTAGCAAACTGTTTTGACAGGGTAAGGACTGAAAAACATTCTGTCTACTGAAAACACTGAGCGCATCTGGGTGGAATAAGGAAGACCTCAGCCCAAGAGTGGGTGGAAGAAAGAATGTGCATCAAAGAAATGGAGATGAGTAGATGGAGGCTATAAGAAAGCAGCAATTTTTGAAGTTCATCACTGAAAAGGACAGAAAGGGGGCAGATAATAAAATATGCACGTCAAAGGTTTTTAACATTTTAACAGTTGGAACGTGGGCCAGGGATTTAGCTCAGTGGTGCCACCACCTGCCTTGAAAACAGAAGGTCCCAGGGCTGGGAATTTAGCTCAGTGGTTTGGCTGCCTCCTGCACAAGCCCAAGGACCCGCGTTCGATCCTCGGCACCAAAAAAAAAAAAAAAAAAAAAGGAAAACGGAAGGTCCCAAGTTCCATCCCTGGTACAAAAAAAAAAGGAACATGGTTATTTACCACTTCACTCAAACAATAGAAAGGGGAAAAAGTGTAAGCCGTGATGCTGGCTGAGAAGTATTATACACAAAGGAAAATAGTTCCTAAATGTTTTTGTTCACAGTAGTGGGAACTGAACCCAGAGAGAGCCTTGTCGCTAAATGGTTCCCCAGGCTGGTCTTGAGCTGTGATCCTCCTGTCTCAGCCCCCTAGAGTGCTGGAATTACAGGTGTGCACCACCTCGGCTGGTTTATTTTTTTAATAACCTAGAAAAAAGGTGAAAATAAAGGGAAGGCAGGTAAGAGATGGGGGAAGGGGAAAGAAGGCGTAAGGGATAAAAGGAATTGGGATGTGTTATGTACATGTATCAACTCCACATAAGGAATGTAAACATTATTTACTACAAACATGTACAAAACAAAAACAAAAACAGTCTAAGGACAGAGAAAATATGAAATGAACAGTGGGACAGTGTACCCAGGAAGTAAAATGAAACTACAAGGCTATGTATTATATGCTCATTTGAGACTGGCAGCCCTGAATTTAAGAGGGGAAACAACAAATCTGTTTTTCAGGCATGTTTGTTCAGCTGCTCAGGCACAGGTATGAAGCTAGGATGGATGGCTATGGCTAGGTTTCACCCAGTGTTGAGATTCTGCCAGAGTATGAACTAAGGGATACGAAACACAGAAATGGGGTAGAGATAATAAAATAGGCAAGAGAACAAAAAGCAAACGAGCTAAGAACACTTGCAAGGAATGACTGTAATGTTGAACCCCGAAGATTTACCAACACTAAGGGAGTTGGGTCAGCATTCAAATCGTGAAAAAAACAGGGTAACAATCTGGAGAACCCTTGGACGTGGAAGAACTGTTAGTGTGACCAAGGGTCTTGGGGGTAGAAGTGAAAATAAAGCAAGATCGTTGGTCTACAGACTGGACATGGTAACACAGGTTGACCAAGACATGTAATATTAAACTTTTAGGAAATATACATTCTTAAGAACTTTTATGGTTTTTAGAACAATATTGTAAGATCGCCACAAGTTCCTATTGATACTAAACATGGCACACGACTATCTTTTTGAAATATCGTATTAACTAAATAATACATGTGATCGTTCCACAATGTAACAGAAATCAGGACCAAAGGGGCCTTATTCTACGAGTAAAGTCCAGAACTTTTTTTTTTTTGGTACCGGGGATCGAACTCGGGTCCTTGTGCTTGCGCAGCAGGTGGCGAAACCAATGAGCTAAATCCCCGGCAAAGTCCAGAACTTTTTAAAGATTCTATAGAACTTACCATTCTGTTTTTCTCAAATCTGAATATATATTTAGGACTCTTTGATCTACAGGAGAAAGGATGCAAATGCAGACCTGGTGTAACCTGGTTATAATGAATCCTGCGTCTTGAGCTTGATCTCAGGTTGTACTTTTACCATTTCTCCCCATGACTCCAAGGTCCCACACAATAATATTATGAAGTTTCACAGTATGAAGTAGTAACTATTAAAACATCACAACTTTCAGGGCCGGGGATCTAGCTCAGTGGCACCTCGCACACCTCACAAGCTCAAGGTCCCGAGTTCAATCCCCAGTACCGAAAAGAAAAAAACAAAACAAAACATCATAGCTTTCAAAGTATCCAAAAGAGGAAGGAGATACTTTTTATATACTAGTGAGTCCAAATGAATTTTAAAATCTTTTTATATTTCACTTTGCTTATTTATGGTGGTGCTGGGGACCAACTCACAGTTACAGGGCCTCACACACACTAGACCAAGTGCTCTTCTACCCCCTACTCAGTCCAATCAGTATTTACTGCATGTTGTATGACAAAACACTAGACTCTGGGAAAGTAACAAACGTAGATTATATGACCACTGCCCTTAAAGAGCTTACAATCTAAAGGGAAAACATAAAGCAAATTTTAATAAACAAAGCTCAAATGTTAAGACAAGGCAAAACCAGGGGTAGAGAATATACACAGTCATTACTGAGAGAACTCTGAATACTCCTGACCAAGAAGGATACGCGTATTATGTACACAACCCATAACTAAGGTTACAAAACATTCAGAAATACACTGCAAGAGAAAAAGAAGCAAATGAATCTTGTAATTTCTGCCACAAATAGCAAGAGATGCAAGCCTGAGAGCCAGTCCAAACCGAGGAGACAGGAAAGAAAGGTGTCAATAAGCAAGCTTTTAGTCAGAGAACAAAAAGGAAGATGCACTCTAAGTTAGGCTGCTGGTTACGAGATGATTACCTGAACTTCTTCAAACTCACTCCAGTACACAGCAGGGGCATTCTTGGAGGCTGTATCTGGGAAGATAAGAAGCTACTTTCCTGTGTGTTCCTTTCATTTTCATATTAAAGCATACATGAATCCAATGGTGATAAAACTGTATGTCATACTATTGTGTCAATGGAGAGATGTATGTATTTGGGATAAGTTAACATATAAATTCAGTAACTACATTTCCCTCTTTGATCACAAGGTTGAATAATAGGAAACTATTATTTTAAGTTTACTAAAACAGTGCTTCTTCTGATCATTTTAAGACTAATCTCACTGGTAGCATCATTTTGTGTTATAAGTTTGATTTTACTGATTAGAGTACTTATACGTGGTTCTCTATTATCAGTAACAATAAATAATACTAAATTTTTTTTTAAAGTGAATCAGTGTACAGTAAAATTTGGTTTCCAGAGCACGAAATGTTTCAGAGCAGGAAGCAGGGCAAAGTTTCAAACTGAACAAATGACCCACTGATCTGCCTATCACCCAAATCACACTGCCCCCAAGAGGAAAGAGCTTGACCAAAACATCTTAAAATACAGAGAGGGAGGGAACAGGGAAAGCCAAAGCAGCTATCAGAATGAAATAGCAGAAAGAAAAATTTCCAGATCCACAAGGATAGAAAACTACAAAATTTATATTTCTGTGTTTTAGGCCACATATTTTATTTTACTATGTAGATATTTTTTCCTTATCAATTTTCGTACCTCATTATTTGAATCTTGAATAACCTTATAAAGGGCTGGTACAAGTGTTTTTTTCCGGTGTAAAGTTGCTGCATAACTGGTGATCTGAGTGTCAGGTAATGCCTAAAAGAAACCACCACAGGAAAAGAAAAGTGAACTTGCTATTTTTTAAAAAATAAATTTTATTTTCTTCCATTCCCCCCTCAAGGCCCCTCCCCTCCTTACGTACAAAGCTTTGTTTCCATTTTTCCCTCTATTTTCACTTTTTTCTTGTCCCTTCATTTCTCCCTCCCTTCTCCTTTGTTCCTCTTCCCATTTGAACACTTCCTTCCCATTTCCCAACATCCATTATACATCTCAGTCCTTACACCAGAGAAGCAATGTGGTATTTAAACATGTGTATCCAATTTATTGGCTTAAGAAGGTCCATCCATTCATTCAAGGACCATTTCACTCAAGGTCCATCCATTTAGCTACAAATGTCTCAAGCTTAGCCTTCTTTATGGCAGAGTAGTATTCCATTGTAAAAAAAACAATCCCACACCCCACATCTCCTTTACCCACTCGTCAGCTGATGGGCATTTGGGCTGTTTCCATTGATTTAGCCATTACAAACTGTGCTGCTATAAATGTCGGTGTGCATATATTGTTGTGGTATGATGCTTTTAATTCTTTTGGGAATATACCCAGCAGGGGAATAGCTGGGTCAAATGGGACCTCTAGCCCTAGTTCTTGGATGTAGCTCCATACTGATTTCCACAGTGGTTGCACCAGTCTGCACTCCCACCGACACTGGAGAAGGGTTCCTTTTTCCCCACAGCCCCGCCAGCATTTGTTATTGGTTGATTTCTTGATAGCAGCCATTCTTTCCGGAGTGAGATAAAATCTCAGCATTGTTTTAATTCGCATTTCACAAATGACCGGTGATGTTAAACATTTTTTCGTACATTTATTTGCCATTTCTAATTCTTCATCCGAGAAGTGTCTTTTAATTTCAGATGCTCATTTTTGCACTGGGTCTTTAAATTTGGAGGGGGTCTGATTTTTTTGAGTGCTTAACAGTCCTCTATATGAATAGCTGGTGAAAATTGTGAACTTAATATTTAAGAAGTGAGGAACTTTATTTTACGTGAGTTCCTCTTGAAAATGAAGAAAAGTAAAAATAATGTAATAAATAACCATGAGTTAATCAAATTAAATTGATGTGCTATATTATATAATTGTACTATGCAACCATAAAATATGATTGGAAATAACACATTATGCCCAAATTTTCTGAAATGGACCACCTTAAACTAATCTAACCTTGAAATAAAAAGCTTGGAGGCTCTTTACTTTTGAACACTGTTTGTTGCTTTGTCTCATCTCTTGTTTTGAGGAGGTTTTCCTAAACTATTGTCCAAGTCGATCTTGAATTCCTGGGCTCAAGCAACCCTCTTGCCTCAGCCTGCAGAGCTGTACTACAGGGCTGGGCCATGAAGCCTAGCTTTTTACTGAATGTATCACCTCATCAATTGTAACGATTATTGTAAACAATTATTTTCAGTTTTATAAACTGCATTCTGGTCCTGATTCATATTAAAGCCTTTTTACAGAATTGCACTCAGAGAAATACAGTGGACCTTGGTTCATGAATGCTTTTGTTTGTGAACAATTTGGTTCACAAACAGAAGCATTTCGTAAAATTTGGTTTTTGTTTGCAAACTCTGTATCAGGTGATGAACACATCCATAGCCATCTTTTCTGCATGAACACAAATGTAGCCATTTTCCCCAGAATAGTGGAACAAATTAAGTTCATGAACCAAGACACTACTGTATTTATTTTGTCATTTCTGCCACATAGCATATTTGTTTTTCTATATAACACATACTCACTGTCTGAATTACTGAAATGTGCTCATATCCCCAACCCATTTTACCTTGAATTCTGATAACCATTCTTCCACAACACCACGTTCAGATCCCAGCATCTTCTACCTTCTATTTGTCTATCTCTAAAATTTAAAAAAACAGCACATTACCAGAGAACAGTACTACATGACAGAAACTACCAAAGGTAATGATGTGTGCTTTTTACCAAAAAAGAAACTCATCCAGCACCTATTTTAGATAAGACAACTTGCTTGTAGTTTGAAGTGCAATTATAACAAAAGTTTTTTCAGAAATAAGTTCTATTCTTAATGATACTGTATATTTGAAACCTATTTTCCTAGTGCTTTCATATTTTCCTCCAACAGGTATACTTCAAATTGGCAAATAAAGTATCCTCAGTGAAATTAAACTGTACATTGTTCAAAACACAGTATTTACACCACCAGCATAAGTTATACGTCATAGAACAAATCATATGACAGACTATAAGCGATAAAACTAGATCAACTAGAAAGCAAGAGTAAAATATTCAGCCAGTTGATAATAACACAAGCACTATTCAAAATAAGTTCTCTGAAGAAGATAGAGCCATAAATTTTCTAAGATGGAAAAATGTCCAAGTACAAACTGTGCAATGGTATATAAACTATAATTCCAAGTAAAGATTATATAAAACATGAAAAAGTATGGACGCAAATATTCACTAAACCATTAGGTTTTTGAGGATAGTATGCAGTTTTGAACAAAAAAGTAAGATCCATTATCATTAAAGGACAAAAAACAAATTTTTCCTCTAAGGCTTAAAAGATAAAACAATTTTTAGGTAGAATAAACTATAAAATAACTGAAATGAAAAGACAGTATTTCTCAAGAGGGTGTCAAACTGCACACTGTATTTCTAAGTTAAAACACACATGAGTTTACTATTTTTCCCACTAATTCCAGAATAATTTTACGATGTTTCTACAAGGCACTACATCAAGTGCTACGTAAACAAGGCTATGAAAAGGAGTAAGAAACCCATTTGTATTCAAATAACAAATGCTTATAAGATAGACTGATGGATTATCTTCAAATAAATTAAGAGATAAAAGAAAATATATACCAAAACCAAGTATGAACTTTATTTGGAACCTGATTCAAACAATTAAAAAGAATGGAATACAACTGGAGAAAGTTGAAATGTGACTATTTAATGATATTAAATTAAGGAATTGTCCCAGTTTATTTTTACAGTTGATAATGGTAGCATAGTCGGGTATTATAAAACAGATCTGACTTGTTAGAGATACACACTGAAAACATCTGCTGGTAAAATGATGCTTTAAAATAACGAGGGGACTCTGGGGCTCATGCTGTGAGGACGAGGTTTTCAAGGCACTGCTATGCAGTGTCCTCCCACAGCCTTGCTGCAATGCTGACATGTTACAGATGCCACGGAGCACACAGACAGGAGAAGACCCACTGACCGCGAGCAGACAACTATGAACAACAGTGACTGGCACACAAATCACACTACACTGCTCTACTAAAATATACATTTGAAATGTTCTGTAATGAATACTAAAAATAAGTTTATAGATCCACTGAAGTTCATTAACAGACGTGGACACCCAAATTTAAAACTCCTAGGTGGGCAAAGTGGAGTATACCAGCACTCTGGGAGGCTGAGGCAGATGGACTGCAAGTCCAAGCCCAGCCTGCACAACTTTGTGATTTAGTGACCCCTGGCCTCAGAATAAAAGATACTTTTTTGAAAAGGGCTGAAGATGTAGCTTAATTCCAAAGTCCTGGGTTCACTCCCCAGTATAACAAAAAATAAATAAAATAAAATGTAAAAGCCATAAAAAACAAAAACTACAAAAGAAATGAGACTTTTAAATAACTTCACAAAATAAATAACTATATATCCAAATTTATAATGCTCTTCAAAGAAATCATTTTTTAAGGTTCCTCTATTTATTCTGATTATTCAAATCCTTGCCACATTTCCCTATTTTTCCTTTCCGAAACCAATTAGTTAAGGGGTACTAACTACTCTTTAAATCCATACTTCTTCATTAAAAATAGACTGCATGACATAAATAGGATTAGCATGTATCTTACTCTACTGCAAATAATACCTCAATTAAAAGGTTTACATTACAAGGCCTGAGGATGTAGCTCAGTGGTAGAATACTTGCTTAGCCTCTCTGAGGTTCTAGGTTCAGTCCCCAAGACAACAAAAAATAAAAACTAAAAGATAAAATAACAAGCATAGATCCGTATATTGTAACTTCTAGGTTTGAACAATTGTTTAGCTATCAAAAAGACACTACCCTTGGAAATTTCTCAGCACCCAATTAGGAAGGTACCCAAAAAGCAAAGGAGAAATTCAGTAATTCATTGCTTCATTCCATAAATACTTCGATCACAACCTTATTCCAGGCATTATGACAGGGGTGGAAATGTAACGGCAGATCTGTAACCCAGATGTAGACACCTTCTAATTAAGCATTTGTACAGCGTAGGACACCAAAACCATTCTTTGGTTCTTTTTTGGGGGGTGGTGGTGATGATGCTGGAGATAGAACCCAAAGAGATAAAGGGTTCAAAGGAAAGGCACACAAAAGTACAGAACAAAGGTACTAAAATTGACCAAGGAGTGAAAAGAGGCTTCTCTGAGATGATGCTTAACTTGACATATCAAGAAGTAAGAGTTAAAGGGAAGAGCAAAACACAGGAAGCTGTAGGATCTGAAAGAAGACCCCAGTGCCTTGGAGCACGGAGCGTGAGCAGCAAGGGCTATGCGGAGGACTGTCTTTGGGCACATTCAGAAATTTGGAAAGCACGTGGGTAATAAAACTCATCCTCTGAAGAGCTAACATGGCTATAGGGTAGAAACAGGATTGGCATCCTATTTTCAACTAGCTACAACCTCCCCAATAGTATGAAGACTGAAGAAAAAAAAAACACAGGTCACTATAGCATTAGCTCTGCCATATCCCTGCAAATTAAAAATCCTGAATGGGGCCGGGGATTTAGCTCAGTGGTTCTGCCGCCTGTCTCGCAAGCACAAGGTCCTGAGTTCTGTCCCCGGGACCAAAACAAAACAAAACAAAATCAAACAACAACAAAAATAAGCCATTCAGGATTTTTTTTTTTGGTACCGGGGATCAAACTCAGGACCTTGTGCTTACAAGGCAGGCAGCGGAACCACTGAGGTAAATCTCTGGCTCCTGAATGGCTTACTGATTATAAGTTTTATTAACAGAGTACCTGTGTAACACATAAAACTAATACCAAAAAATCAGAATCGAGATATTCTAGTATTTAACACTAAAACATTAATACAGAGAATATTGTGAAGTATTCAAAAGAGACACTGTAGAGAGAAAGCACAACGTATCTGACTGTTTTAAAATTCACCTTGCTTGGTTTGGTTAAGGCTTGAAATTTCTAAGATAAAAACCACATTCATGGTGTCACACGTCAGTAATCTCAGCACTCAGCTGTCGGAAAGCAGGAGGATCTGGATTCAGAAACAGTGTGGGCTACAAGCAAGTGTGTGCACGCACAAACTATGCCTACTTTAAATCCCATGGTTGGCAAAAGCACTGTGTAATGTGCCCCTGGCTCCTACCTCTCTCCCTTTCCCTTCAGTTTTCTACCTCTGGCCATCCTCTCCTCTCAGGCTCTCTACAGGGAAACACGCATTCGCCTCCGGAAGCTAAGAATCCGTTCCAGGCTCAGTTATTCTCTCCCAATCACCCCAGCTAAACAGTAGCCAACTCTCACTTACTTAGTATATTTTTCATGCCAACACAAGGCTTGTTTCTCCTTGCTAGAACTTCGGATTTTGTAACTTGTTTATCAGAGCTCACTACTTATTGGCTGTCCATCTCCTTCATCTGACTTAAGTGCCACAAGAACAAAGCCCATTTTGAGTTGCTAACTCTAGGCAGTCCACACAACTAGGCATTCTACAGCACCTGGACAGGGGCCTGGTTCCTAGGTTTGCTGAATGAATGAACCACACTGTCCTGCTTATGTACTCAGAAAAATAACTTGAACACTTTGGGCTTCAATTTCCTACAATATGTTACAATAAATTTAAAACCCTAAAAGTATATTGTAGTAACTTTTTGGAAAAATAAAATAGTGCTAGTTATAGAGAAATTGTAGAAACAAATTTCTTAATTAGGCTCAGTATCTTTTAGTATCTGGAGGTAACCACAGAAAACAGCTATAAAGCTTTTTATCTAACCAGACAATACAGAATTGTGAAGATGACTTCTATTGTACTGTACATCACCTGCTTTGTAAAAAGTATTAAAAAGCAAGAAATCAAGCTGGTGCTCCAGCATGCAGCTCAATCCACACATACACTGTCGCCCTTCCAGAGTGAAAAAGGAAGAGGCTATCAGAAAATGATTATCTTCTTTACGACCACAGTAATGTTCTTTCGTTGGCCACTTAACGACAACATAATGAATAAATAACAAGATCTTGGTTTTTGTTTTTTGGATTTTTGAGACAGGGTCTTGCTGGTAGTTCAGGCTGGCTTTGAACTCACAATGTAGCCCAGGATGGCCTCAAACTTGCGGTGATCCTCCTATCTCAGCCTCTCAAGTGCTGGGCATGTACCATCATGCCTGGCCATAATAAGCTCCCAACATGGCCTAAAGAAGGGCAAGAATCACTTGCCAGGAAGCAAGCTCACAGCACTTGTCCAAGTACGCTAACCTCTCCGTTACTTACAGGGTTAGAAACTGTGTCTTGGCTGACAGACAGCATGTATCTTTCTTCAGGAACTGTCACTTCACATGGAATGAGAGTAAGTGGTAACATGGCATAAGGGTTAAAGAGTATGGATTCCAGCTCCATGACCCATAAACTGTGTCTTTGGGAAAGACACTTAAATACTTGGTGACTTCAAAAACCTCCAGTTTATAAAATGGGATAATACAAATGCTTGCACTGACAAAGTCTTTTGTGTGTGTGTGTGTGTGTGTGTGTGTGTGTGTGTGTGTGTTCTTGAGAAAGGGTCTTGCTATATAGTCCAGGCTGGCCTTGAACCAGAGGTGATCCTCCTGCCTCAGCCTCCCAAGTGATAAGATTACAGACATGTGCCACCACGCCCACCCGACAAAAGCTTATTTTAAAAGATTATACAAACACACCTAAGTTCTTAGAACAGTGAGGACACACCAGTAGTCCTCCATAGATGTTAGCCACCCCTATTACTTTAGAAATAATAGCCATATTAATTAATTTTTTAGACAATTTGGGAGGCATTTTTACTGCAGAGGTCAGTACAGAGATTAATCATTCATTCTTCCTATAATAATTATTAGACATTGATTACATGGTACGTATTAAGATGTTATGAGAAAACAAACAGCAAAACAAACCATGACAGTGCTCCTGAGGGTTTCCAGGGCATCAAAATTACTGGATAAACACACATCTCCGGTCCTTCTTACTACTCTGAGGCAAGTACTCGTGATCCTGCACTCGTGATCCATCGATCCTCGGGCTTCTGAGCAGCTGGGATTACAGGTTTGCACCAGTAGGTCTGGCTCAGTTTTATTACTGTAAATTTCCAAATGCAGTCAACAACCATGAAGGGATTTCAAAGTATATGTCAAATTTAAATTGTGACACACTATCATGGTAAAGACCAAATTCTTCAGGAAAAATTAAAGCTGCACTGTCAGGTACAGTAGCGACTAAACACATGTGGATACTTAGCCCCTTCCAGTACGACCCTGATGCCTGACAGTGTAAAGTTGGTTTCACTGGCAAGCATTTCAGCACCCACTGTGGGTCTTCCGCGTGCACAGAGAACACTTCATGCGGGATCAGCTACACTGAAGAGACTGGCCAGCCAAGTTCATGACTCCCTACAGTGTGTGTGCGTGTGAAGGGATACATTTCCCAGGCTGCTGCTCTTTCTGTTTATTACTAACGTACACAATTTATAAAACCAAAAGAAAAAGAAAATACTCATCCCCAAATCTACTGTGGCTCCAACCAAGATCCTATACAAAACCCACCAAATCCGTCTTTCACAGGAAACTGATACAAGACAGGTGAAGGCAGGAAAACATAAGCAGGTTGGATCTGAGGTGAGTTCTGATCCCTGGCACAAGCTGCACATTCTGAGCCTTCAAAGTATGACCTTGCAACCTTCACAGCCACGCCCACATCCCAGGTCTGCCAGGCTGACGATGGCAAAGTCACATCTGCACCCAATGGGAGTTTCAGCCAGCACAGGTTAGGCCAACAGTGCTGGTCTGTCCTGGCCTGCAGCCACGCTGACTTCCTGGTGAGACCGCTCCTCACCTGCTATGGCCAAGCACTCTGCCTCCAGACTTCTTCCCCAGTGAAACCTGGCTGTGCAAGGCTCCAGCAACCTTGTTCCATCACCACTTCTGAACCTCTAGCAGGCTCTTTCCTGGGAGGGTACAGCCAGATGACCTGACCCCTTCCCAGCTCACTGCCACCTGCCTTGGCACCAGATTTTTCTGACCGGATTTGTAGAGGTCTTGGGATAGAGCAACAATGGATTTGGGGATGAGTATTTTTCTTTGAGTTCTCTATATATTGTACGTTAAAAATAGTGGGCTGGCTCACAAGCGCAGGTCCCTAGTTCAATCCCCGGTACCAAAAATATAAATAAATAAATAAATAAATAAATAAATAAATAAATAAATAGTGGGGGCCGGGGATTTAGCTCAGTGGCACCACACCTGCCTCAGAAGTACAAGGTCCTGGTTTAATCCCCAGTACCAAAATAAAAAAAATAAAATTTAAGGATTCAACTCCTTGGCTGCTGTAGTCACATGTCAAGCGCCCAGCAGCAGCTACAGGGCACTGGAGTCCCATACTGGACCTTCCCAATAAAAACAAAGCCATGGTCACCAAAGTTCTATTGGATGCAGCCAGATAATGCAATCATGCTGACTAAGCTCAATAATTCACACACATACACACACTCACAGAGAAAGAAATGGACACACAAACAGATGTAATCACTTCAGGTAAAACTGCATAATAAATTAAGTCTCCAAGGGAAATTTAAGTTAAAGTCATAAATGTACCTGTTCTGGATCAGTTTTCTAAAGGAGGAGGTGGCATAGGAATGCAGCAGAGTTCAAGTGTAGAATTCATTTGTTGAGAGTTAAATACTTTCCACCTCTATAAAAATAAAAATGAAAACAAGGATGTAATACAAAAAAGAAAGAACAGGATTTTTTGTTTGTTTTTTTGTTGTTGTTAAATTCTTTTATTGGTACATTTTAGGTATACAACACAATTACATTTCTCATTGGGAATTGTACCTTTACATAATGCATCTTGGTTCTTTTTTTTTTCCCCATTCTTAGCCCTCCCTTCACCCGCTCCACCCTTCCCTATTTACAAAGACTTTATTTCCATTTTTTCCATAAGAAAGAACAGTTTTGAGGATACATTTATAATATAGTTCATATAATCATAAAAAATAATCATGGATAAAAAAATTTCTGTAACAAATAGGATACTTGTGTACCTTTATCAAGTCTAATTTTTTTTAAAAAACCATTCTTTTAGAGACAGAGAATCTGAATTTTAGTTTTAAACTTGCCATTAATTATCTGTGAGAGCCTTGGTAGGTTACTTAAATTTTACATGTATATGTGTATGTAACACATTATTTTGTCTGGAGCCTCACCTGATTAATCTACAAAACTGTATTCTTCTAGACAAAAATTCTATGACTCTTTGAAACAGGTCACAACAATCTCTCTTCCTCTCTCACGCACATAAGCACAATCCTAAGAAATATGACGTCCTCATTCAAACTTCAAATGCAAGGCTGGAGATACAGCCCAGGGTCCTGCGTGTGCTGCACATATATGAAGGCTCTGGGCTGGATACCCAGCACCACTCCAAACAAAAATCTTTTAAAACATGCAATATAAAACCAAACTTAAATACTACAAAGGCAACAAAATCATTTTGAATGAGTTTCACCTAAGTGAAAAGTTATCATTTTTTACATATAGATTACATTTCTTGCTCAGAGAGAGCCTCTTTCAAATGGCAAAACAGAGATTTCTTGGAAAATAATGACTTATATATGCATCTGCTGAACACATTATGCTCTACTTCTTTGATTCAAAACAGTACAATTTTAAAATGTAACCTCCCCCAAAGTTAATCCTTTAAAATATGTTCATTTGGGCCAGGGATTTAGCTCAGCGGTTTCACCGCCTGCTGCGCAAGTGCAAGGACCCGAGTTCGATCCCCAGTACCAAATAAATAAATAAATAAATAAATAAATTTTAAAAATATGTTCATTAATGAAATGTACTTTTAATAAAAAATATGCAATAAATTATCTTGGAGTTAAATTATATTATCAGGCCACGCTTGGTGGTGCACTCCTACAATCCCAGTGCTCAGGAGGCTGAGGCAGGAGGACTGTCACAAGTTTAAGGCCAGCCTGAACTATATAGTTAGATCCTATCTCAAAAAACAAAAAATTACATTAGCATTGTCAAGGTTCCAATATTCTTTGGACTGAACAGTGTCAAGACCCCCTACTGTAACCATAGCCATGACTTTGTATCTCTTCTATATTTGGCTTTTACATGAGAGGTTTATTTTAGGGGCAGAAGTTGGGCATAGCATACACCTGAAATCCCAGCACTCAGAGTATGAAGCAGGATTGCTGGGAGTTCAAGGCTCGTCTGGGTTACAAAGTGAATTCAAGGCCAATCTGAACTATGTAGAGAGACTCTGTCTCAAAAAACCAAAAAGAAAGGAGTAGGTTCTGCATGGCAGGAGAGCCTTTGAAAAGGACTACCAGAATATCTATGGGAAGCCACACAAAGAGACCAGTGAACACTTGAAAAGGTGCTCTGAATGTCAAGGAATCAGGGTGAGAATGAGACATCTTTCTGTATCTTGAGTTCTGAATCACAAGACAGTTGTCAGATTCTGGAGCCCTATAGCAGGCAGGTTGGACAGCCTTGCAGACCTGTCTCCCCATCTTCCTGTGGAGACAGATGCTCATTAGACTCTCAAATTAAAAAGCAAAGAGAAAAAAAATTTTAAAAAAGAAAGGGCAAATTGTGGGAAAAACTGAGTTTTCAAAAACCTTAACACAACAGGAAAGCAAAGCAATCTCTGCTGGTTGGAGGTAACTAGCCCCTCATTCATCTGTGCAACAGAGAAAAATGGGAACCTTATCAGGAAGGTAACACTGCCCAGAGTCTCCATGAGTTCTTTGAGACACAAAATCTGGCACATGATAAAGACCTTAGTATGCAAAAGGACAAGAAAATATGGGCAGTATGAGAAAACTAGACCAGAAAATCAGACCCAACACACAATAACGATTACTTTAAATAACTCTAATATATTAAAGAAAACAGGGGAAACGGACAAAATTGATAAAAGATGGAGGATTTCACCAATGAATTAGGATCCATAAAAACTGCTGAAATTCTAGAACTAAAAAATAATATATATTCAATTGAGAACTCAATATATTGATTATATACCAAACCGGACACAGCAAAATATAGGATCAGTGAACTAAAAACAAGTCAGTAGAAAAAAAAAAAAAAGGCAGTAGAAAATAGCCAAATAGGACTGGGGATTTAGCTCAGTGGTTCTTGTGTCTGCCTTGAAAGCGCAAGGTCCTGAGTTCAATCCCCGATACCAAAAAAAAAGAGAAAGAAAATAGCCAAATAAAAGCACAAAGAGAAAAGAGCAGAACGGGGGGGGGGGGGGCGCCAAGGGAAAGAAGGAAGAGGAGAGGTTTAAGATAAACATGAGATATGCTGGAAATGTCATTCATACATACACCAGACAATAGGAAAAAGGTAAAAGCAATATTCAAAGAAAGAATATCTGAGTTTTCCAAAACTGATGAAAGAAATCAATCCAGAGATTCAAGGTATTCTACCAACTCCAAGCTCGATATACAAAGAGAAAACTATACCTAGGACAACATAATCGAATTACCAAAGGAAGAGAAGGAGGAGAGAATTAAAGTCCTAACAGCAAAAAGATGTCTCAACACCAGAAACTGGAATATAATAGAATAGCATTGTTAAAGAAAGTAATTGTCAATCTAGAATATTATATTCAGCAAAAATATTCTTCAAAAATTAATGTCAAGAGCTGGGTGTGGTGGCGGATGCCATTAATCCCAGCACTCGGGAGGCTGAGGCAAGAGGACAGCTATGAGTTCATGGCCAGCCTGGGCTCCACAGTGACTTCAAGGCAACCCTGAACAGCATGGCAAGACCCTGTCTCAAAAAAAATAAAAAATCAAATAAAAATGTTTGCTAACAAATACAAAAATAGAAATTTCTCATCAGCAAGCCTGTACTAAATAAGATTAAAGGGAATTATTTAGGTTAAAAAAAATCATCCTACATCATAAATATGAAACATAAGGAATAAACAGGGTACATATGTAAGGAAATAAAGTAATAGTGATTATTCAAAGCAATAACTAAAATATCTTCTAAGGTTTAAAGGTTCTAAGATTTTAGCAGGGTTTTTTTGAGACAGAGTCTCACTGTGTAATTGAGGCTGGCCTGGAGCTCCTGTCAATCCTCCTGCCTCAGCCTTCCCAGTGCTGGGATTACAGGCGTGCACCACTACAACCAGCAGCAGTTATGTTGACAGTGTGAAAAAGTAGTAATTTGAGCTGTGTATAGTGTGGCACACACCTGTAATCCCAGCTACTTTGAAGCCTGAGGCAGAAGGGCTGCAAGTTTGGGGTTAGTCTGGACAAAGCTTAGACCCTGTCTCAAGAAAAAGTAATTTGTGTTACATTGTAATAAGCTGAGGATAAATGTTATAATTTTAGGATAATCATTAAAAATTTTGTTATATATAACACATTAGAGAAAAAAGTAATATTTAATCTAAAACCAATCAAGAAGGGGAAAAAAATAGATGAGCCAAAGAGCAAATGATCGTAAAATTATACATAAACCCAATTTCATGTAAAAGGATGCTCTGCAGACTAAACAAAAAAGTATATTCTTTAAAAAAGACAAACCTTAAACATCCATAGAAAGATAAGTAGAGGGTGAAAAAAAATACATCATGCAACATAACCAGAAGAGAACTGACAGCCAGGCATGGTGATGCCTCCCTGCAATCCCAGCTACTCTGGAGGCTGAGGCAGGAGAATGGCAAGTTGGATGCCAGATTGGGCAATTTAGCTAGACCCTGTCTAAAAATAAAATTAAAAGCATTGGGGATATAGCTCAACACTCCTCGGGCTCAATCCCCAGTATCACAAATAAGGAAAAAGTCAGAAATCATTAGCAATGACAATAAGTAACCTGGAAAAACACCAAGCACCTGGGAGTTTAACTTAGGAAATAAATACACTGAACTGAATACTGAGACAGCAGCAAAGTGTGTGAGATGCAGCTGCACCTGAACCACACAGGCAGGCAGCCCTCATTTTCCAAGATGCCACATTGAAGAGCAAATGAACGAAAAAGAAAACAAGCACATGGAAAAATTAACAGCCAAAAGCTGATTTGTTGAAAAGCTTAGTAAAACAAAAACGTCTAGCCAAGCTGATTAAGGTAAAAGGAAAAACACGAATAACTACAAAATTTTTAGAGGTCAGTATGATCATTTTATGCTAACAGGTGACAATGTGAAGTAGATACATTTCTTGAAAAATACAAATTACCAATGCTGACAGAAACAGACTATCCAAAGGGCCCCAAAGCTATTAAAGGAATGGAATCTGCTACTAAAACCTTTTCCACAAAGATCTCAAGATGTAGATGGTTGCACTAGTGAGTACTTCTGAACAAGTGAGAACATCACCAAACTCGCACAAAGTCCCCAGAAAATAATAGAAAGATCTGCAACTCTTCTTAAGAACCAGTGCAATCATGATGCCAAAAGCTGACTCCAATGTTGCAAGGAAGCGGAATCATGGACTAATCTCGCTCATGAACACAAGTGTAATAACTCAAACAGTGCTAGCAAATAAAATCTAGCATTATATATGAAAAGAACCTGTAACATCATTTATCCTAAGTGTATAACAGAAGAAAATCATATGATCATCCAAATAGGTACAGAAAAAGCATGTGAAAAAGTTCAATAGCTACTGATAATAAAAAGCTACTGGAAAACTCATAAAGAATAGCCATAAAATGTCT